ACTTTTCCATCATCATCATTATTACTTAAATCCATTTTTATTATATTTATATTTTTCAAAAAGTTTTTGTATTACATTGAATGTACACACGATTGTTCTATTATAAAAAAATAAAATAATGGCCCGTCAAAATTTTGTTGGTATAGTGATAGGAACAGCAATGCGTAAGACTGTTAAAGTGAATGTGGCAAGACAAGCTACCCATCCAATAGTCAGAAAGGTCATTATTATTATCATTATTAAATAAATAAATAAAATAAATTTTCTATTTATAAAATTTTTTTCATCAAAAGATTATTACAAAACACAAAAAATTTTTTGCACATGATGAAGAAGAAAAATGTAAATTAGGAGACGTGGTAAGAATAGAGGCTTGTAGAAGATTAAGTAAAAATAAAAGCTTTACTGTTTCTGAAATTATAAGGTAATTTATGAATGAAAATGAGTTGTTTTAAATAAACAAATAAATACTTTATCAATTCATTCAATACCTTTTTTTATAATTAGGCCTGCTAAAATTTGGATTAATCCTAATCCTAATGCTCAAGATAATTCTAAAAATTCTAAATTATAAAAAATTTAATTGCTCCTTGTTATATTATTATTATAATTGTTATTATTAAATCAATTGAATTACAATTACTCCATCAATTAATATTAATATTTTTATTTAAAATGGGGAAACATCGATTAACAGAATGTGTGACAGTTCATGTATGAAAAAAGCCAACTCTTGTAATAAGTTTGTCATCAGCATGCCACATATGGGTGATTAGAGCTGCAGTAATACTTTTAAGTTTGAAGAACCACTTTATATTTGATGCTCTCCTCAAGAGTTAGTCTATACTCTGAAATCAAACACAGTTGGATGTTGATCATCCTATGTAATCAAGTTGTACATTTTACTATTAATATATCAGAAAATATACAACATCAATATGTTGAATTCTATTAATAAAGGATTTTCATCAGAGTGATGTTATTCCACAAATGATATTTCCACCAACATCATTCATTATATGAAATAAAAGAAAAATCAATAATCACAAATGTGGCTTTAACAATAATAATATCTTGCTCATACAATTTTATTAGAATAAAGTAAATATAATAATTCACAAATTAGCTTTATATGAGGCTATTCCTCTTGAAAATAATTAAAAAAATATATATTTAAATTTAACATTTCAGAAAAGCAGATATGCCAAACAAAGTCTATTAAGTCTTAATTTAATAATTTGAACTGCATCATAGATATTGTTGACTGATCTGGATATACCTAGGCAATAGGAAGTCAGATCCAGTATTAATG